GAATTTTAGAGAGGGGATAGGTCAGAGCCTATAATTATTACTTGTCCTGGATGACACAAAATACACCCTCCTGTTTTAACTTAGTAAGTGGGGTAAGGCTTACTTAGACACCTACTATATGCTTGACTGAGGCAAGAATCACCTCTAGTATGTCAGATGGTCATCAGGAGTTGGTCAAAAGTAACATGAAGTCTTAGGGATGGAAGCACCCAGCTTCAAGGCAAAGACCCAAAGCATGAAAGGCAATGTTGCTTTTTGAGGTGGAGAGGAAACCGTAGGACCATTAAATTCTTGAGAGTCTTTTCCACTGGGTTCAACACAGGACTGGAGAAATACTGGCTGATTCCATTCCATGACAGTCCTGTGAGGTCAGTGCCACCATGTCCGGTCTGTAAGCGGAGCCAACTGAGGTAGAGGAGTAAGGCAACCTGCCCTGAGTCCCACAGTAAGGTGGGAAGGACCCCTGGTCATCCTGGCTCCTGGGGGCTCTGCTGTAGTCAGCAGCCTTGCTACTGGTATCGTGGGCAGGGAGCATCACTCAGCCAGCTTCCAGCAGAGACAAAGCTCAATGCTAAATGATCAACCATGGCGCAAACGAGTGTGGGGACCTCCCACTGGATGGTCTGTTTTTAAAAGCTCACTTCAATTATTCTCTGTATGTATGTGTGTGTATATGCATGTATGTATATGAGATCTTGCTGGTGTGTGTGTGTGTGTGTGTGTGTGTGCTCACACAAGCACCTGCACATGTATATGAAAAGCAGAGGTCAACCTGAGGTACTGAACTTCAGGAGCTGTTGACATTTTTACTTGTGAGATAGGGTCTTTCTCTGGCCTGGGACTCACCAATTAGTCTAGACTGGCTGGCCAGGGAGCACCAGGGACCCTCATGTCTCTGCCTCCCCAGAACTGGGATTACAAGTGTGCACTACCATGCCTGTCTTTTTTCTTTAATGTGGGTTCTGGGGAATCAAACTCTGGTCCTTGTGCTTGCAAGGTGAAGGCTTTACCGACTGAGCCATCTCCCCAGCCCTAATTCCTGTATTCAACAAAATGGCTTTTAACTGGAGTGGAGAGAAAGGGGGGAACAGGCTCTCCCAGGCTTTTGAAGGACACTGTTCAGTCCTAAGTGCCTCTCAGCAACTTTCACAATATTCATGTTTTTCTTTCCTATTTATTTGCTATCTGAGTAATCGTGCAAATGTGGCAGAGCTGGACTAGAAGGTTCTCTGAGAAGCATGTGATGCCCTACATCCCTGAATTGTTACTGTTATCATTATTCTGGCCATTGCTGGTGCTGTGATGTCCTCAGATCTTTGTATTCGCGTGTGTGTTTTATGTGTGCATGTGTGCAAACTCAAGGGCATGTGGACACCAGAGAACAGCTAGTATAAAGTGGACTTCTTCCTTTCACCTTTCTGTCAGAGATGAGGATTGAACTCGGGTCACTAGGCTTGGATGGCAGACACCTGCACTCACTGAGTCAGCCCACTGTCCCTTACCATCTCATGTTTTTGAGACAGGGTTGCTCACTGAACCTGGAGCTTAACAATTCCGCTAGACTGTCTCACCAACAAGCTCTCAGGACAGGCCTGTCTCTGCCTCCTCAGCTCTGGGATTACAAGCACAGGCTACCATGCCCAGGATTTCATAAGGGAACTGGAAATCTATATGCAGGTCCTCATACCCACCTGGCAAGCATTTTACTGACTGAACCATCTCCCCTGTTCCAAGAGCTCTCTGGATCTAAAGATGTACCACTCTCCCATTCATCCTGACTTGGAAGAGCACTGTGTTTATTACACCAGCAACTCCCAGGGGCCAACAGCCTTCCGAATCGGTTCTGCAGCCCGTGGCACCCAAATTGGTTTGAATCACAGGTCTGCAAATATTTCTATCTTTAGCGATGAGGTGTTTCACCATTGCAGAAAGCCTATTATTTTATACATACAGCAACATTTGCTGAAAAATGTATTTTACTTAGAGGAAATCAAATAAGTAAATAGCAGGGAAGATATGTAAATCAGCAGAACATAAAAACAGCTCAGAATAAAAAGAACATGCTATATTGGAAGTACGCAATTGGGCTGTTGCTGACGGAGCCTTTATGAGCTGCTAACACATATTTATTTGATACCCAGACTGGATGATCTAAGGGTTCTCAAAGGTAGTTTAAAATATGTGAATAGTATGGAGAATTATGCAAGTTCACGGGCGGTGTTCTCCAACATCATCAAAATGATTTTTTTTTTTTTAAATCACGAGCTGAGTGGGGGCAGTGGAGCTGGGTTTCTGATTGACAGCGGGCACCTATATGTTTATTCCTAAGACACACCCTGAAGGTAAGAGAGGAGCAGAGGTCAGCAAACAGCCTAAAACACATACTCATTAATGCGATTCTACATGCCTTCAGCCAGCAACCAGCTATTGTGCATTTACTGAGCACCTCTTGTATGCCAGGCTCCCGGAATGCAAACATTTATGACCAAGGGACTTGTGGGAGGGGAGGGCTTGAGATAGTAGCCTTGTCTCTCCCAGTGTGGGTGATGTTATGAGGGAGGATGGGTCAGGATAAAATTAGTTGGCATAAAGGACATAGAAGCAGAGACCCTCGGGTGACATGAACAGAAGATACAACCACATCATGGAGGTAGCCAGGGGCTGAGGACCAGGTGGTACAGAGAGAGCTCAGTGATCTGAGGGCCCCGATGCTGACAGGGGGGTGGAGGAGATCCTGGCTGCCCAAAGCCAAATGGGCTCCAAGGCTGCTCTCAAGGTCTGCACTGGCTGGGCTCCAGGTTCATCATGGCTAGCTAGGGTGATTTTGCTCCCCATGGATGACCAGCATCTAAGGAGAATCAGAGTCACCCTGGAGAAGGGCAGATAGAAGGTAGAATGGGATTGTTCCTGTTTCAGTTTCTGAATGTACACTAAGGCTTTCTGGACTGGGTACTATATCATTCTCTTTCTCTTTCTCTGTCTCTGTCTCTGTCTCTTTCTCTCTGTGTGTGTGTGTGTGTGTGTGTGTGTGTGTGTGTGTGCGCGCGCGCGTGCGCACACAATATGGAAGTTAGAGGTCGACATCTGGTATCTTCCTCAATCACTCTCTACCTCATTATTTGAGACAGCATCTATTACTTAACCTATGCTAACCAATTCTGCTAAACTGCCTGGCTGGCAAGTCCCAGGGGTCCACCTGCCTGTGCCTCCCTAGTGCTGGGATTATAAGTGTACATCGTGCCCAGCTTTTGTATTGTTGCTGCAGATCTAAACTTGGTGTGTGCGTGCATGCATGGCAAACACTTTACCCATGGAGCCACATCCCAGCCCTTTCATTAAACTTTCATTGTTTATATCTTTTATGTATGTGCCTTTACACATGCCTTGTATGTGTGGGTGCTGGAGGAGTCCAAAAGAGGGCGTCAGATCCCCTGGAGTTACAGGCAGTCTGGAGATGCCAAATGTGGGTGCTGAGATCTGAACTTAGTCCTCTGCAAGAGCACTGTTGTTAACACCTCTCTAGCATGTTCATTAACCCTTTAAACTCCTCTAATTTAGAGAGCTTGCATTTGTTCGTGTTTGAGTACATGAGGCATACACAGATGGCCTCGTGTGGCTCTCTGCAGTGCTCTCTTCATTCTTAGTCCCTTCAGCAGGTCCTGAGGACTCAGAGATAAATGAGGCTTGGTTGGGTGCAAAGTGTTCTGATGCTATCTTTAGGGGATGCTCTCTGAGTTCAGAATCCTTCCTGCATCACGGTGTAGATGTGATGAGCTGTAAGAAAAGCCTCCCACAGTTGCCTTCTGATGGCCCAGCATGCACTGCAGTGGCAGGCTGAGTGGACAGATGGGCATCATGCACTGGTTCCTGCCCTGGCAACTACGAGGTGTCAACTCCTTCTTTGCAGGTTGCATGGTGTGCTCGTGTGCTCAGGGGTTTCCTGGGAGGGCACATGTTTATAAAGCAAATGAATACACATCGGAAAAGTGGGCATTGCCAGCAGGCCTTTCAGCTTCCTGCTCTGTGAGCAGAGGGAGCTGAGGAAAGAGAAGAAGAACACAGCGGCTATCAATGGCCCCACTGGAACATGGGGACCCACAGGGAGGTCTAGACTGGAAGTAGTGGAGCAGTTGCTAGCTTTCTTAAGCAAAAGACTTAATGGAGGCGTCTTCTGGGGCTGATTTAACTTGGAGGTCTAGGTGGCTGCCTGGCTCTGGTTACGCAGACCTGACATTTCCCCCTCAGAAACTCTGATGGGCAATCACATGGAACTTATCCTTACTTAGTGGCAATGAGGTAAACATCCCTCATGACAGGGTGTCTATGCAGGAAATGTGAAGGATCCATGGGGACATTGACCTATGATCTAACCATCTGTGTAAGAATGAAACATTTTGATTTTGAAGCCACATAAGGAATGGGGGGGGAGGGGAGGGAGAAGGGAGGATGAGGAATAAAATGAAAGAGAGAGAGAAAGAAGGGACTGAGGAGATGGTTCAGTTGCTAAAGTGCTTGCCTTACGAGCATGAAGGCATGAGTTTGATTCCCCAGAACCTGAATGTTGCATGTGGTGGCACATGCTTACAATGGTGGCACTGGGGAGGTGGCAGTGGGCAAATTCTGGGGCTCCCTGGCCAGCCAGACTAGCCATACCAGAAAGTTCCAGGTAAAATAAAAGACCGCATCTCAAACAAACAAGGAATGCAGCTCCTGAGGAATGATATCTGAGGTTGACCTCTGACCTCCTCACCTCCCACCCCATCTCCAACATATGCACACACACCCCTCCAAACATGCATGCACTCATGTGTGCGCATACACACGTGTGGGTGAGAAAAGAAGGGAAAAGCAAAGGCTTGCCATCATGTACAGCTGAACGGTGGGGTGTGCTGGCCAGAGGGTGACGGCTTGGGACAGCAAGTGAACATGCCATGGGTGAAGGAGGTCGTGTGGGAGGGTGTGGCTGAGAAGCGTAGAGACAGGGAGAGCTCAGTACTCACATCACTTCCAGCCGTGCAGTTCGGGAGTCGTTCCCGCCCTCAGACACAATCTCACAGGTGTAGTCCCCGATGTCCCCTGACCACGTCTGGCTAATGAGAAGGGACCCGTCCTTCTCCACCACAATTCTCGAGCTGCTGGATGGTGTGATGGCCACGTTGTCCTTTTTCCAAACGTAGCTGTGGGCCAAGCAGAAAGTTCATCACAAAAGCAACAGGAGCAGGATCCTGCCCCTTCCTTGACAGAGAAGAAGAGCAAGCAGCTGGTGAATTGGAGAACAGAGTAAAAAATGACCGAGTCACACCTTTAAAGGTATGAGTTTTGGGCTGGAGAAATGACTCAGTGGTTAAAAGTGTGGCCTGCCATTCCAGATGACCCAAGTTTGGTTCCTAGCACCCAGGTCAGCTATGGGGATTGGACACCGTCTTCTGGCCTCCTTGGGCAATTGCACATATGTAGCATACATTCACACAGATACACACACACACACACATAGACATAAATAAAAATAAATCTTTGTAAAAGGTGAGTCTTTTGGTATGGTGAGGAGCAGGAGGTATCTTGGACAATATACAAAAGTTGATTGATAACTCAGTGACTGAAACAGGACAGTGATGGCTGGAGGGGTAAGTTAGTGGATAAAGTGTTGGCCTTTCATTCAAAAAGACCCAAGTTTAATTCCCAGAATCCACATAAAAACACTAGTAGTCTCAGCACTGAAGCAAAGACAGGTAGATCGATGGGGGAGGGGCAGGGATCCCACCCTCAGTCTAGTCTAACTGGTGAGCTCTGGGTTAAGTGAGAGACGCTGTCTCAAAACAAGATGGATGATCTGGACAACGGCCCAGTGGATAAGGGCTTTCTGTGCAAGCATTAAGACTGGAGTTCTGCTCTTTGGCACCCACATAAAAGCAGGCATGGTGGCCCCCCTGTAATCCATGCACTCAGATGAAAAGATGGGATTCCCAGAGCAAGCTGGCTGCTAGACTAGCTGAATCGGGTTTAGCAAAAGACCTGGCCTCTATAAATGAAGAGGAGGTCGGTTGACAGCATCAACCTCTGGCCTCCACATGTACGTGCACACAGGTGTACATGCACCTGCACATGTATATGCCTATGTACATGGAAAACATGCGCGCGCGCGCGCACGCGCACACACACACACACACACACACACACACACACACACACACGCAAAAAAAAAAAAAAAACAACCAAACAACAACAAAATCCAAAGTAGACAGTACCTAAGGAATTACACTCACAGTAATATCTGGCCTCCAAACATACACACACACACACACACACACACACACACACACACCACCTGTATACAAGTGTACCACAGATGTACCACTCCCAACACATACAACAAACAAAATCCCAAAATGTGGCAGTGAAGATGACTGAATCTGTCTGAGCTTGTGTCTGGGAGACAGGACTCTGTGGGTCAGAGGCACAGCTGTCACCTACTAAACTGCACCCACCCAGCTCTCCTGCCTCAGTAATGCTTGCTTAAGACCCCCAGAGAGGCACCCACCTCCTGAGCAAGGCTCTGGGCACCTTGTAACTGTCCTGCTAAAGTCCCACCGCCCTGGGCAGGTTCTCTCTGATGCCACCTTTCTTCCTCATTTAAGCTTTATGGCCATTTTAGCACATTTTTTCTTTTCCAATATAGACTCAATTATGAGCCTGTCCGGCCCTAAATGTCTCTGGGCAAGGCCCCTACTGATGGCTAGATGAGATGAAAGTGCTGGCCTTCTCTTTATTAGAATAATTTGATCACATTTTCAAAATGCACCAGCCCTTTCTGCCCTGCATATTCACAGAACAAACTTTTGTGAATTAGTCACAGGAGATCACCCTGCAACACAAGAGACAACAGTGCAGAGCCCAAGCGAAGAGAAAGACAGACTGCCCTGTGTGCCTGGGTTCCTCTAAAGTGGGGACAGCCCAAGTGCTTCACAGAGGGGGCTCAGTGCTGCAAAGGGGCCATCCGAGGGGGTGCTTCTGAGCTCTTGGGGCATTGTTTGAAATCACACCCTGCCTCCTCTACAATGAATGGATTCTCTACATGCAAAAGAGATCTCCGGGTGGGCCTCCCAGGGTCCCCTAGGAAACCTTTAACTTGTGGCTTCTTGTGTGTTCCTCTGGGTTTTGCATTTGCTCTTCTTGCAATTAACCCACACTTGTGTTCCAGCCCTGGACACTCTGGAAAGTCTGGTGGGGATGTAGAAATGAATGGTCTGCCAAATACCTGCCCTGAAGGGTCAAGTCTCTGAACCCAGTTCTCAGGGCAGGCTTCAATAGCCAGGCAGGCTTGACAGCTCTGCTCACTGTCAACTCCAATTCCGTCCTTTCTGCTAAGTGTGGCCTTTCAGAACTACGGCTGGATGATGATGCTGTGTGATGCATTTCTCTCCATTTACTGCCTACCCCCCTTCCTGGTTCACTTATTTTCAGAGTTGAGTCTGAAAAGTCACAACTATTCTGCTCTTTGACACAAAGCTCACTGCTGAGGGCCACCTGTCTGCAGCCAGGCCCTTACATGAAGTGGCCTGGCTTTTAGATTTTGTTTTGCTTGTTTTGGTTTTGAGACATGGTCTCACTGTGTAGCCCTAAATGTCCTGGAACTCACTTTGTAGACCAGGCTGGCTTCTAACTCACAGAGATCTCCCTGCCTCTGCCTCCTGAGTGCTGGGATTAAAGGCGTGCACTACCATGCCTGGGTTGTGTTTGTTTTGTTTAGAGACAGGGTTTCCTGTAACCAAGGCTGACCTTGAATAATACATGGCTGAGGACAGCCTTCAATTTCTGATCCCGTTTCCACCTCTGGAGTGCTGGGATTAGAAGCATACACCCCCCAAGCCCAGTGTATGCACTGATGAAGACGGAACCCAGGGCTTCATGCATGCTAGGCAAGCACTCTATAACTGAGCCACATCCCCAGCCCAAGTGTCACAATTATCAACATCAGCTTCCAGTCTACAGGATGTCCCACTTGGCACTAGAGAATCACCAAGCCGCCTGGCTCCCTCCTCTGCCTGTGTTTCCCTTTTACTGCCTTGGACACCCGCACACCTTTCTTCTCCCTGCTATACAGAAAAACCATCCTTGCGGGATAGAAAACCCCTCCTGAGTATTGCAGAGCTCCCATGTCAACACCACTGAAATCCTATTCCATCCCTCTGGATTTTTGTCTCATTAAGTATCAGTCCCTGACAAGTGCGTTTTACAGACAGTGTATTAACCTTGGCAGGAAAATCACAAAAAGCTGTATTGAAGCCATGGAGTGGAGCATAGCCCACTGTAAATAATACATAAGGCTGGAATGGAAGACCGATTCCTGTGATTAATGATGGAGCCTGCCACTGGGAGATGCCATCATCAGGGATCTGCTGCTAAAATCAAAGACCCCCCAAACTCTCCCTTCTCATCTCAACTTTCCCTTCATTAACCCGGGGAATCTTAACAAGCCCTAAAGAATGAGAACAGGATGAGCAACCGGAGAGAGGTCCGAGGGTCGTGGGTGGCTCCACAGCACAGGGTGGCTGTCGTCCCCTTAATCACAACGCGGTCCTCTGGAGGGTGAACGATGGACGTTCGATCTGAAACAACACAAGTCACAGCCCGATGAAATCACCAGTGTGCAAGTCTGTGCCCTCGGGGGGGATAATGAATTGGTCATCTGACATCAAAGCCTCCGAATTCTCTCTTATCTTGGCAAAATGGGTGTAAATGGAAGCGCTCAGCGATGTTCAAGGAATGGAAAACAAGCCTTTCTGTGTGGCAGCAAAGTCAGTTAACCCGCCCACTCCTAAGTCATCCCAGGTCTCCAAAAGACCTTGTGCAAACACGTAGGGAGTCCCTGCTGCAGGTTAGAGTCTGGGCTCTTTGGAGAGTGTGTGTGTGTGTGTGTGTGTGTGTGTGTGTGTGTGTGTGTGTGTGGTCAATCTTAGGAGCTCTTCCTCTGAAGCTGTCCACCTTGTTTTTTTCTGACAGGGTCTCTCACTGGCCTGGAACTCATCAAGTAGGGTAGGCTTGCTGGCCAGTGAGCTCCCAGTAGCTGCCTGTCTCTCACTCTCCAGTCATGGGATGACAAGCATGTGCCATTGCTCCCAGCTCTTCTATGTGGATTCTGAGGATCAAACTCAGGTCCTCATGGTTGCAAGTTAAGTACTTGACTATCTGTCGCTCTGGCCTAAAGCCTGGATTCTTAAACCAGGGTAGAAGTGGAGGCCTGTCATTCAAGTTGCTAGGGAGGCTGAGACAGGAGGATCACATATTCAAGGCCAGCTTGGAATCACAGTTCATGGCCAGCAAATTACAGGGTAAGTTTAAGAGCAGCCTAGGAAACACACTGAGACCCTATTTCTAAAGAAAAAGTAAAAAGAGGGCTGGGAATGTAGCTCAGTGGTCGAGGTCCTAGGTTTAATCCCCGATGTTGTAATGAATACATAAGTAAATGAATAGTATATAAATAAATTGAGATTTTTTGCTAAGATAATTATTGTCTTAAATTTTCTAGTGTCCACACAGCACCTGTGACTCGGGCAGGTTCTTTCATTTGTGCTGATTGATTTAATGATGATTGTCATTACTCCTAATTCTTGAGAGTGAGCATGGATGCCCAAGCCTACTGTGAGCTGCCCAGGCCTACTGTGAGCTGCCCAGGACCACAAAGCTGGCAAGAGGCAGGGCCCATTGGCTGCCCCACATCTGAGGATTCCAGAACCCATAGCTACTGCTGCAGATGCCAGCTTCTCCGGAGTCAGCCTGTGCTATGCTGTCACACTCCTGCCGGGGACTCCACTCTGGTGTCATACCCAGAACTAGAACTTGTGAGTCTCAGGGCTGCACTTGAAACCCAGCATGGTGAATTGCCAGCTCTGTGCCAGGAAAGGTTTCTGAGTCTTTGCCTATGAGAGGGCATGCGACTGAGGAGCAGCTTGATTGAGAAGTCTGGATAACTCTACAGGCTGACTTACGGTCACTTAGCTAAGCATGGTCCTAACACTGATCCTCCACAGATCCATGGAACTTTCTGGAGAGTGATCTATGGAGAGCCAGACCTCACATTTTCCTTTTCTACAGGCTTGAAAAATATGAAGCCAACATTTCCCCATGCATCAAATGTGGTTGACTCCAACCTCCAAACATAACAAAACCTCTTTTTTTTAGTACTTTGCCAATATTGTAGAAATTTAAATAAAAGAAAAACTCTGGCTGTTTTGAGAATATCTAATAAAAAAATTAAAGGGTTATTTGGGGCTGGAGAGATAGATCGGTGATTAAGAGTGCACACTGCTCTTGCAGAGGACCTGAGCTCCATGTCCAGCACGCAGGTGAGCTGCCTGTGATTCCAGCTTCAGAGAATCGCAAGCCCCTTCCTGGCTTCTGAGGGCATCTACACTCATGTGATGTGCATACCTCCACTCCCCTAGACATACATGTAATTGAAAAACAAAACAGAGTCTTAAAAAATTCCATTAAAAGGGTCATTTATCACAATGTACAGTGGCAACATGAAAAAAATGGCAAATATGAGCAGAAGTGTGTGTGTGTGTGTGTGTGTGTGTGTGTTTCTTTAGAACTGGCTGCATCTTCATATGTTAATGGAGTGAGTTTGAACTTTCTCTCTCACTAGAGACCCTTATGGAGATTGTCAGTGCACACCAGCCTAGTAAATGAGCTGTTACTAATGTTGCCTGGGGTCACAGGAAGAAAGGGTTCTTAGGTACTTTAGCAGCAGTTCTCAACCTGTGGGTCTCGACCCCTCTGGGGTTTGAATGACCCTTTCATAGGGGTCACATGTCAGATATCTTGCATATCAGATATTTACATTATGATTCATAACAGTAGCAAAATTGTGGCTATGAAGTGGCAATGAAATAATTTTATGGCTGGGAGGTCACCACAACATGAGGAACTTAAAGGGTCATGGCATCAGGAGGGTTGAGAACCACCGCACTAGAGGCAGGACATTTGGTGTTCAGATTGTCATGTTACAGAAAACAATCCTTTCTGTACATCAAGGACCAGTGACCTCCACTGAAGATGACAAAGACTGGAGGGATAAAGATGTCCCTACTGTTGGCTTCTCCTATGTCCCTATTTCATTTATGTAGATGATACTTGATAGTATAGAAACAAGACCTTCTGTTTGTGTGTGTGCATGGGCATGTGTGTGTGCGCACAGAGGCCAGAGGTCAATGTCAGGTGTCTGTCTTAACCACTCTCCTCATTATTTCACAAGACAGAGTCCCTCACTATACCTGGAGCCCCAGATGAGACTGATTGCCAGTGAGCCCCAGGAATCCCTGTGTCTGTTTCTAGAGCACTGGGATTACAAGTTATGCCTGGTAGGTGCTGGGGATCAAACTCATGCCCTCATGATTGCACGTCAAGACTTTTATTGACTGGCAATCTCCTTAGTCTCCAAAACACTTTCTTTAGGATATCAATGACCGATTCAATTTTCTTATAAAATTAATCAAAACATTACTTTAGCTATTCTAGCCAACTGGGGATAATAAGTCTACTGATTTTCAAGAGTCGATCTGTTACCGCTCTTGAAATAGTGCCATGGACTCTCTGGATACGTTTCCCAATTATTCTTTCAGAAACAGAAAATTTAATTACTCAACAGATTTCTATAAATTAGCTGTAAAAACAATCATCTTCTTTGAACTGAGTGAGAAAATCTAAGGGGGTACTGACTCCCCCGGGACATAGACAACACAGTCACAGAGAACGGTCCTTACTCCATACGGTGAGCGTGGCGGATGCATTCACAGAGCCCTCGGTATTGGCCGCATAACAGGTGTAGTTGCCAGCATCCTGGATGAAGACGGGGGCTATCCGCAGCCCCCCAGATTCCAGCAGCATGAACCTCGGAATCCGGACAGAGCCACTGGCCAGAATGAGGTTTCCTGAAGGGTAGGAGAGAACGAGTCATTAGAGGTACAGCAGCCGGTGGGGAAGGAAAGGATGGAGCTGCTGGCAAGACAACAATCCAAGCAAAGTGACCATTCTGTGCACAACATAACTGAAGCGCTTTCCTCATCATCAGCAAGGATCTCGAACATTTCTGATCTGTGTACGGGATCCTTACCTTCGGATGACCGCTTTCCACACTTCCTTCACACCCAGGGCTCACTATCTTCAGGATCCCCAGTGGGCAGAGGGCACTCACTGAGGGCTTATGTAAAGGAGAGCTGTATTTACAGCCATTACTACTCTTAATGCCCACTGACTTTCCTAATTAAAAAAATAAGTATGGGTATATGGCAGCGGTTCCCAACCTTCCTAATGCTGTGACCCTTTAATGCAGTTCCTCATGCTGGGGTGACTCCCAACCACAGAATTGTTCATTGTTACTTCATAACTGTGATTTTGCTACTGTTGTCAATCATAATGTAAATATCTGTGTTTTCTGATGGTCTTATATGACCCCTAAGGGGTCGCAACCCACAGGTTGAAAACCACTGGTCCATGAGGTGTTTGTGTGTGTAGATACACGTGTGTATGTACAAGTCGTCCATATGTATATGGTGTGAATGTATGTAGAGGCTGTACTTTTTTTTAGACAGGGTTAATGGCTGGGAACTGGGGTTTACCCAATGGGCTAGACTATCTGGCCACCAAGCCCAGGGATCCTCCTGTCTCTGTCTCTTCTGTGCCAGGATGACAGCTTTTTACACATGTACTGGCACCTGAACTCACACCTTCATGCTTGCATCACAAACATTTTACTGACTGAACCATTCCTCCAGTCCCCAAGTTTTCTAGAAGCCCAGGGTCACCTGTCTCCTTCACGCTGCACCATGGCTAGATGCCCCTGGCGGAGGCATCCAATAAATGTCATTCAGAGAAGAAAGAACAATGCAGCCAACATTCCAGTGTTTTCCACACCAGCCACGCACACCAGCCACGCACACCAGCCACACTGCTGCAGAGCCACCTGCCTCTCTTCCATGTGATCGCAGGTTTGGGAGCCCCAGACACCTCACACCTCAGGACAGCTGTCATCCCGTCAGTGACCCTGGTGTCCACTGGACGCTGGGTGAAGGCAGGAGCAATATCTGTGGGGAGAGGTTAGCAGTGAGCTGCGGCACCATCTCTGAGAAGCCTGCCTAGGAATGCGCACAGGTCTTGCAGGACCAATCAGAGGGAAAGGTACTGTGTCAAAAAACAGGAGTCATTCAGGAGTGGCTCCTACCCTGTGTCACCCTACCAGGAATCACCCATTGTTGCTTAGCATCTAAAGGGAAGTGGATGCCCCTTGCCAAGTTCAAGGGCCCAGAAAATGCGTTTATCTACAGAAACCAATTGGCTTTGTCCTTTAGGTGACAGACTGTATCAACCATGGGATGATATGTTCACACTTTCCAGGGGCATTCTGAAAGCTGGCATACAGGTTTAAGAACCCCTACCCCACTCCATGGCTTCTTTTTGTTCATGGGGAAAGGCAGGCAGTGTGAGAGCCAAGTAAGAGGAATGAGACAGGCATGTGCTGGAATCAAATGCAGCCCAGGTTCCACTGCTCTCCAGAGCAGCCACACTACTGCAGACCCCCGCCTCTCTTTCACATGATGGGTAGGGGTATCTAGACACCTCATATATACTCCCATTCACCCCTGCAAGGTTATGCCTTCTGTGCTATCTAGCTATAACATAGACCATGCCCCTGAAAGTCTACAGCATCTATTACCAGACCTTTCAGAGAAAAACAAATTAACAAACAATAAACAAACTCAAACTACCTGGTCATTCTGCATCAGAACACCCTGGCCATAGCCGCAAGGTGGCTTTTAAATAATCCTAGTGGATGCAAACTCAAGTTTCTGCCTTAAACACCCAATACTATTGCAACTGCCTGGAGCGAGATTGGTTGCCGGTGCTCTGCAGTGAAGGACAAATATGACTTCTGGGAAGGGTCAATGACAGTGACCTCCTGAGTTTACCAAAATACACAGGTGCATTTTAATAACTTAGTTGTCACTGTTCACGATGCAGGGAGACACCAGTCCCATGCACACACGGCCACACTCCCCAGTGGGGCTCACACCTGCGATATCAGCACTTTGCCTCTGAAAAAAGGGCAAACTTAAAAGGTGCAATTCCATAACCACTAAATTCTACTTCATTTCAGAGGAACAATGTTACGACTGCGGGAGATTAGAAAGAAAACCCACAGATACAGTGAGAACCTGTACTTTAATTTTATTTTTCAAAGACAGGGTGCCAAGGTATTTCTGCTAATGGGATAATAAAAGAAACCCACAAAAGAACTATAATTGTTCAATAAAACTAAAGTAGAGAATGAATATTTTTTAAAACAGAGGGAAAAGATCAAAAGAAAAAGATTAAGCATGAGCTATATACTGGATAGTCTTTCCGATTCTGTCCAGGGGTGGAAAAATGAAATATTTTTCTACTTGTCTAAAAGGAAGATTTTCTTTTAAAATAAAGAGCAAGGCTCACAGGTTTGCTTAGGTCATGGTTCACCTTAGCTCAGCCCTCATCACAGGGCTCTCTGTTCCTTCGTCACCTCGGGAGCTGACAGGACGCTACCACCCTGTGTACTGGGCCCAGTGGGCAGCTCTGACTGGAGGAAGGCTGGCCATGCTCACGTATGTTACTCACTGGTTACATCCAGGTAGGTGTGGGTCTGGATCTCTCCTCCTTCATTATTGGCAAAGCACTGGAAGATTCCAGAGTCTTCTGGACTCAGCTTCTGAATGTGCAAGCCTCCGCTGGGGAGCACTCTGTACCTCGGGTTCTGGAGCTTGCTCAGGGGGACAGCATCTTTGTACCACTGGAGGGTGGGGAGAGGAACCCCTGGATAGGAATGGAGGGAAGCGTTACACTCCAGGAGCTCTCTGTAGGAGGGTTAAGGCAAAATGGCTTCAGAGACTCATATGGCAATCTCACACCACAACCAATCATTAGGGACACTTCCCTCATCTACACGAAAAAACCCATACTGAGTGTTCTGATGAGGAAGGAGGCATAAGCAAGGGCCACAACCTCCCAGAGTCTAAACTCATTTAGAAAGATTAACTGTAATTGCCCTTGAGTTTAGGCCAGAGTTGATACCTCTGATTCTGACCCTACTAGGCAGGCCAATCCAGGGTCACTGGGAGCTTCTGTATTGGGTTGATGGAAGTGAGAAGACACACCACCAATGTGGGTGACACTATCCCACGGGCTGGGTTCTCAATTGAATAAAAAGGAGAGAGTGAGCTGAGCACCGGCATTCATCTCTCTTTGCTTCGTGACTGTGGATGCCATGTGACCCATGGGACCGGATGCTCCTTATACCCTGTGTCTCCTTCCCTGCCACAGTGGACTGGATCTTCACACTGTGAGCCAGTTGTACTTGTCAGGGACTTAGTCACAGCCGTGAAACAGTCACTAATATAGCGGGAAGGTTTAGAGCACGACATCAAAGGCTGTGAAGGTCTGACCGGTTTGAATGTAAAACTCCAGGCAGGCACATGGCAGGGGCTCTGTGGATAGTGTGAGTACTCACCACCACAACCAACAACCAGGCTGCAGGCCACTTCAAATACCTCCTCATCCACGGCGCCCACAGATGCCAGTGACCTTAAGGAAAATCTCTATTGCGGGAGGAATGACTAAAAGCCTTGGAGTTGCCCTGGTTAGAGCAGGTGGGAACATATGTCCACCTTGTGGATACTGAACAAGTTGCTTTGTTCCTAAGACCCACATGAGTGCAGGAAGAAGGGGGTTCAAGAGGCCCTGCACCCCAAGGTACATGGTAGGGTGCTAGATTAGAAGGACTAGGGAACCAGACTCAGACCATCGGACAGGCTCTGACTCCAGAGCCCTGCCTAGTTTCCCCTTCAGGATGTGTGTGTGTGTGTGTGTGTGTGTGTGTGTGTGTGTGTGTGTGTGGTATCCCAGTGAGAAACAAGGCCTGGCTTCCACGGTGGACACGGGTTCCCAAGGGTCCTAACCTGGGTGGTACATGGAAGGGACCGCAGGCGGCCTAAGCACCTGCTGTGGATGTCTGAAGCCTTCTCCTCCTGGGCAGTGTCCGTTCACACAGCTCAGGGCTGATGAACAGCGGTGCTGCACTGCCTGGGGCAGCCCAGTACTGAGCGGGGGACACTTGGGCCCTCTGCTGGCAGCTTCTGCGCAGGGCTAGACTCCCTGGAGTCCAAGAAGACCACACCCATCCAGAAAGGGTGAACTAAGTGTGCAAAGAGGCTCTACAGAGAAGCAGCCCAAACCCATGTGACATAACCAACTACAGAAACAAAGTGGGCATGGAAACCTGAGGAGACACTAAGAAAGAGTTAGTTCTAGAGTTTAGGAGCTCTTGTTCCTTAGTTTCCCTAAATAAAAATGAGTTTTTTTGAGGGGGTGGTGATGCTGCTGGTGGTGCTGCTGCTGGTGCTGCTGCTGCTGCTGGTGCTGCTGCTGCTGCTGCTGGTGGTGGTTTTGAGACAAAAATCTTGCTACATAGCCCAGGTTGGCCTTGAACTCTTGACCTTCTTGCTTCAGCCTCCTGAGAGCTGAGATTATAGGCACGTGCCTCCAGGCCTGGCACCATAAAATGGATTGAAGTTTTAAAAGGTACATTTTGCCATGATTCTAAAAGGCTTATTGAGACCCCTGACTCAGTCTCCACCTACGTGGGTGTAGAAGGTCCATTTGAATGAATAGAGCTGATGTCGGGAGCATTTCCAGCTGATGTGTTCTCAGGTAGTTTCTTCCCCTTAATTACGTTTCCTGTCACCTCTCATTAAATCAGGACAACTTTTTAAAATCCATTTCAAGGTAAAAGCATACGCAATTCATGTAAAACCTCATAATGGTGATTACATGATGTAGCTCTCACAGGGAACCCCCACCCCACTCCCCATGCAGTGTGTTTCACTGCCAGAGGTAAGAGAGAGCTGTAAATCACATGATGGGAGAGCAGTGTGGGGAGGCCTGTTCAATACACATTTACAAGTCTATGCTTAACAGTTTGCCCTGCAGAAATTACACAAGAAGAGAGCACTCCCCTGTTGGAGGAAGAATGTCAGGATTGTCATTTATTGAAAAATAATAGTTACTACACGGGAGGATGAGGGTGTTTCTCCTGGGGGGCAATTTAATGTCAGATGGGAACTGTATGCCCTGCAGTAGGGGAGAACTCCCTCATTTCTACACTGTGAATGCCGCCTAGCTTCTCAGGCACAGAGCTGTGCTCTAGAGGCCGCTATGGCGGGAGAAAAGAACAAGGCCACCACAGTACGGAGAAGTGTCTCCACTCAAAATCTGTACCATTCCTCTCTTGTCCTCCTCTGCAGCTGCATGAATGGAGCTAGAACTGAGGAGAATAGAAACACAGCATGTTTAGAGAGACAGTGATGAGGCGACCGGAGTGGGGACCAGAGGCTGCAGGCCCTTTGGTGAAGAGCAGGTATACGTAAACCACTGGAGGGACTACTGGTCAGAGGCGACTCTGCATTTACGGAGAGCTGTTGTGAGCCACAGGGCTCCCATTTCAGAATTGAAGGGTGAGGTGGACATAGTTGAGCACCAGGAGGTGAGGCCTGCTCTAAGTCCTAGGCATTAGCTCTCAGGTAGCCAAGTGTCACGGCAGGAGCATATGCCAAGGCACATGCCGATGGACTGGGTTTTGGACTGTTCTGCACTGCCCCATGGTCCCAGTATTTGGTGAGAAGATCCTATATGCCAGCATGTCTTGTTTAATCTTGGAGGCTCCGAACATAATACTTCAGTGAGTCTTCTCTGAAGTAAGGTTTCAATGGTGTATAAAGAGAGATAACCATCTTATGAAACTGGAACACTTTCCAAACTGGTACTGTGAGAGAGAAATCAGTCTGGTCTATTTGTGGAGGTGCATTTAAAGCTCATTAGAAAGCCACAGACAAGCAGGAGGCACTTGCCTTCCCTAGCTAGCTGCTCACACCTGCTTGCCCAGGTACTCTTGGGTCCTAGGGCTGAAAGGTCACACAGGCAGTCAGCTACACAACTAAGCCTACAACTCAGAAAAGGAGGAAGTCTCCAGCCCCAGGACATACATGAGATAAAAGCTTTTCATCCTGAACCAATTGAATGGGGAATTTAGGGCATTTTCCCCCTGCCTTTTCTGTAGGCTGATGCCAGACTTTGTGAGGTCATACAATAAACTGCTTCACTTTCTCTACTCTGGGTCTCCAGCACTCTCATTATAAAGCAAGGTCATTGTCTCTCACAAAAGCAAGGATTCCCTTCCAGGGCTAAGTGAGTGGAGGAAAACCATGTTTTTGATGGCCAGTCTAAACAGACAGGGAAAGAGCCTTTTCTTCTATACAGGTAACGAATTGCCTTGTAAAGCCTGTGTCATGCAAGTGCGTGCGTGCGTGCACGCGTGCGTGCGCGCGCGCGCGTGCGTGCGTGCGTGCGTGTGTGTGTGTGTGTGTGTGTGTGTGTGTGTGTGTGTGTACAAGGCAGAGGGCAGCATCATGTAACTCCCTGTGTAACCTCATAGTAAAGCCATGGGCAGGGTAATGGGTACAATGAGTCTTAGGAAGGAGGGCACAATGGACCTGTGGAACGGGAGAGCTGCCCCAGAGCTAAAAGGGCAGAAAGGGAGGAAAAGTTCTCATTCAAAAAAAATAATCAGAATGGGGGCCTGGGATGTGGCTTAGCTGGCAGTGTGCTTGCCTAGCATGTAGGAGTCTCTTGAGTTCCGTCCCCAGCACAGCATAAACCAGATGTGATGGCTCACACCTGTGATCCCAGCACTTGAGAGGTGGACACAGGAGGATCAGGAGCTCATGGTCATCCTTGGCTACCGGCAAGTTTGAGGCCAGGCTAGGTTATATGAGATCCTGTTAATTAATTAATAATAAAAGCACCCTCCTTTTCTTTAGGACAGATGGATGTGATTCCCCAGTCCTTATCTCCTGGTGGATAGAGATGGGTTTCTTGAGAGCCATGGTCTTAGGCCCACATACTCTAGGGAACCCAAGTACCAAAGGGAGTCACAGGGTCTGCTGAGTACCCTGTCTTTTGGGCAGACAACAGACAAGGGCTTTCTTCTCACTTTCCTTTTTCTTGAGGGTCAATAGATATTACACTGTGCCAGCCCTGGATTGATCTACATACAAGATCTTCACAATGGTGACTTTCTTCAGAAAGGTCACAGGCTAGTACTGAGTCCCATTGTCCAGTGTTCCCAGTCTTCATGTTCACTGTCCCCCCTGGAAGGTTTTAAAGGCCTCCCTGGATATTCACAGTCATTCACCACGGGTCCCCATCTGGTACTTCCCATACTCACCCATGGCTCGACATGGGATGTCCACGGTTTCTTCCACTTCACCTAAAATCCGACTCTCTGGCTCAGCAGTGAAATATGGTGGCTCTTTAAACAAGGAAAAGAGAACGGCCCCTAAGTAAAGGTGTGCTGCAGTCTGAACGTGAAATGCCCTCCCCGGGCACACGCATTTGAACTCTTGATTCCCAGATGGTGGCACTGTGGAGGAAGGCTGTGGGACTTTTAAGAGGTGGGACCCTACTGGAGGAAGTGAGCCCCTGGGAATGGGCCTTGAGGCTCTGTAGCCAGACCCCACTTTCTGTTCACTCTCTGCGTCCAGGGTCTGGATGTGATGTGAACAGCCAGCCTTCTGCGCTGGCCACCATGCCTTCCCTGCCTGTCATCATTTCTTTCCCATCATGATGGACCACATCCTTCTGGAACTGTGAGACAAAAGCGACCCTTGCTCCCTTCAGTTGCTTCTGTCGGAATGTTTAATCATAGCAGTGAGAAAGGAACTAACACAAGAAGGATGTCAAGGACCACAATGGTGTCTGTCTCTGTCTCTCTGTCTCTGTTTCTGTCTCTGTCTCTCTCTCTCTCTCTCTCTCTCTGTCTCTCTCTCTCTCTCTCTCTGTCTCTCTCTCTCTCTCTCTCT